ATGGATTTTCGCGCGACAAGAGCATAGAGAAACATTACACCAATTCGATATTATATGTTGTTTATTATACTATATATGTTTTTGGCGAATAAAACAAAATGGAATTGCAAGCAGAGCCCTAACGTAAGTTGTACAAAAGATAACAACTCACCGTCATGAATTCGTGTGCTCGTTGGGTTTCTATTAGTATCTCCCCTGCGTTCACCTGCAAACACGCGATCAATGCGCTCAATGTTAATTATAGGGTGCCCGATTATTTACAAACGGTCTAGCAGGGGAAAATTTCTATCAAAAAGTTTTTTACTACGTTAAACAACCTAGCAATTATACGTAATGCTTTGTAGCTACGTACAAAATCTTCAAATTGTATGTGATCGCAGAAATCTTTAGTATAGTTAGATAAATCATAAACGTACATTAACCGACGAACTATTTACGTTCTTCCGCCATCTTGTCGTTGAGTGACGAAAGTATTAAGACCAAGATAGATACTGCAAGCATGCGTCTGCCCTAAAACTAATCCTTATTCCATTTTAAGGACGTTAAATCCGTCAAATACGTCAAATACCTACTTATATATCCCTATAATATACTTAAAACATAATTTACTCACTCAATATCGTTGCGGTGAGCAAGAAATAGATACAACGTGATCGATAAAATGGATCATTTGAATAATCAATAAAACAAAACAACGTACAAAAGCAATGGCCTGGCGCGGCAAAATGCCGCGTCAATAGGACCAGGGAGGGGATCTGGAGGGTGGAGCGGGGGAGAAGGAACGGACGGAGGCGAGACACATAATGGAATTACATATCTACCACATAACTTACTTGGCTGAGACCAGAATATAACACACAAATGCGTAACTACCAATATACATTAAACAAGCGCCATCTAACGCGCTAGCGGCTCAGGTGGGTAAACTGTAACCATATGCTGTGTTACTTATCACCAATCACGTCATAACCTCGAGGTAATCGCCTTTCCCCTATCTATTTACCATTTGATAATTTTAATAATTGCTACCCACCTATACACAACTGCATACGATACTTCGTCCTAAACAAAATATTATACAACTGGCCAGAATATATTATTATATATTCTGGCCAGTTATAATATATTATATAATATGTAAGCAATAAACTATGTTATTCAATTAACACGTAATAACAATAACAAATAATGTTTACGCAAGAAACAATTGTATTGTAGCTTTGAATACGTACGTCTTAAAAAGTTTTTTACGATTTGACTTAAAAACTTGAAATAATGCTCGTGTAGTTAGTGCCTTTCCCGCTGAGATTTAGTTTTGATCGCACGAATCAATGCGCCGCCATTTTCTTTAGTACACGTAAGCGAGAACCGGCGAGACTGCTGAGCGGTGACGTAGCCCAATGATACATAGCAACGTCTCCGCGTTACTGATAAAACTTAACTAACAAGCTAACCGAGCGCGGAAACGTGAAACCGAGAACAAAAGAATATAGTAGTCTAAAACAACATCGTTTAAGAATTCGTAGTCTGAGAGGATAAATCTTCTTGTATTTATTTATTACTGCGATAAAATATTTTCAAACGACTTGTTTAATTATGAAACGAGATATAAGTAGATTAGGGTCATTTTAAAAATCCATGGAGGTTCTACAGCACCCTCAGACCAATATTTTTTTTAGTATGAAACAGCATCTAACAATATTCAAGGAATGAAATTCTTTTTATATTGACTTAATTATATATTAAATATATGGGCATGGATTTAAACATTTAGGGGCTCATTTGCGTAGGGCAAAGACGGAATTGATTAGATAATTATTATGTAACATTTGCAACAAACCATTACAATAAAATATATAGAAAACGCCCAAATACTCTCGTAATAATATACCGAACATCAAAATCTTCCTTTTATTGTTGACTCGACACAACATGTCTTTCACCTCAAAATGGAAATGATTTGTGGCCTTGATTTTTTTTAACTGAGAATTATTTATAATAGATTGAATTAGAATTGTTCCCAATCTTTGTGTTTGTAATTGTGTTATTAAATATTGTAATTGAATTATTAGTACAACCGTGCACAATTACTATTATTTATTATGTGGTGAACCGTGTAGTACGATATAGGCAGCGGCGTCTTTCTAATAACCACTAGAAAATAAAAAAATTGCGGTTGCCATACCAAGCATGGCAAACATCTTCCCGTGAGCAACAACATAATGTGGCATTTATTGGGGGAGACCTGTGTGCAGCAGCGGACTTGCGATTGGTTGTAATGACGATACTAACGAATCTTACTACTAAACTGTCAGCTTGTCATACATTTTGTCGTAATATAATAACATACACACACGAATATAAAATATTTACCAATGCACTTAGCGTTGCCAGGCGTCTGGGTAAAGCCGGACACAGTCAGGCTTTTTGATTGCGTGTACGGCCAAATTAGACGGTGTCCGGCCTGTCCGGCTTTTGTTAGGCTTTTTTTTTACAATTGTCATGCGTTCGCCCGCCTCACCTTGTATCGCTAGCGCAAGCCTGCTACAAATTTTGGCGGTAAAGATAGAGGAGGGCAAAGTAATGTTGTATCCTATATGTTCAAATATCTAACTAATAATCAGAATATTGTTGGAATTGGCTATTTTGCACATATTTTTTTTAGGATAAGAGTGACAAACGAGCACACAGTCCACCTGATGGTAAGTGATTGCTGTGGCCCATAGACAACTACATCTATCTTCGATTACGTATCAAAATGCAGATGCGTTGTCACCCGTGAGGACTAAAATGGAAGCCTCGTTTCCAGTAAAAAGGGTCTCCGGTACTCTATACTCACCATAAGAAACACAGCAGCGTAAGCTGCTGTTTTAAGTTGGTATTCTGTGAGAGCGTGGTCTTTCCCCGGTCGAACCGGCCCATTCATGCTACAAACATAATATAGCTGCAGCATGGCTCTACCATGTATAAAACCGGAATATTTTCAATAATTCCGTCCACAGGGCTATTGATTCTTGGCCATTGTGTTTTGAAAGTATTGTCATGCAATTACACAATCATATTGCTACATTTACTGTACGTACAGAAGAGCTAAAAAGTATATGCTCTGAATCAGGCGTTAATTTTACACAGACATCTACTATATCATTTAAAGACGCGTTGGTTGAGTCTCTTCCCAGCTATCGAAAGGATTTTGCAAATGTATGAGCTCCTTAAGTCATATTTCCAGAAAATTGGGAATCATATACCTATCCAGAACTTTTAAGAGAGTTGTTCGAAAACGACTTCAACCAGGGCTATTTTAGCGCTGTTCATCTTTTCATGGCAATTCATCGTAGAGTAAATGATAAAAAAGCCTTTCTTTAAAAAAATGTCGTGTTACTAAGACTAAAAAATTAAGGGTGTCCGGCCATATTACCTAATGTCTGGCTAAACTGTATGGTCTGACCGGATTTTCGGTTTTAAGACCTGGCAACCCTAATTGCACTCATGGATCTACATATAAGTAAAGTTTATTACAAGCACTTTGGGACTCTTTATATATTATATAATAATAATAATAGTCATTTATTTCAGGCTTTTTTACACCCATTACAAATATCAATAAATGTTAAATGTTAAAAACAAAATGAAAATATAATTATGTGGATACAATAAATAAGATATAGGTTAATCAGATAAAGTTATTAGATTATGGTATTTAAACAAAGTAAATGTAACAATTTGAAGAAAAGCTATGCCATTTGGTACTTTTTAATTGTAATGGAAAACCTACATAGCCATTATTTTCTTATTTTCAAGTTCAACATTACATTATTCCACTACAGTCGTACAAATTTATCATAGGGCATAACAGAAAGAGAATTAAAGGCTATCTATACATACCTATTACAATTATTTATTTTTTATTCGTGGATAAATATTTTGATGATTCCTTGACAACAGAACACTAGAAATTGTCAATTATAGGTAAGAAATTTTAACTCAAAATACAATGCTAGATGTATTCAAAATATTTGAAAGTATTTACTATTTACTGAAAAAACACAAATGCTTCCTACTGCAAATTATATACTCTAAGGTCTAAGGCTTTCTTAGGAGATTGAGTCGATGAGGCGATGCCTCGATAAGTTGACATTCGTTACCCCGGGATGTTCGAGAGATTTCTACCAACTACGATTACGAGTACTATATTATGTCCGCAGGTAAGTAAGCATTAACAAGAGTTATTCCTAGAACCACTTTTGATGTATGTTCGAATAAAACCAGTAATCATTTTCCCAAGCCCTTTTCTCAATACTACCCAAATACACAAATGCTGCTCGATTTTAAGATGCCGTTAAATCTCGTGCTGTTTCTATCACTTTAATTCAAAGTGACTGTGACACCAAGAGACTTAAAATTTAGTAGCGTTTGAGTATTTAGCCATAAGTTATTTACTAAACTAAATGAACTATCAAATTATGAAAGGAAATGTAATACCCACATAATTTTTATAATTATGTTTTTGTAAATATCTTTTAAAAAAATTACTTCGCAAACATCCGCGCTATAAAATAAAATGATGTGTCTTACCTAGTATGAAGAGCACCTCCCGCCCTCCCTCAATTGCGTGCACTATCCCCGTCACCACTAATCCCAGCACCGCTACTCCCAACACAATACACTAGGCAACACACACCACTGACGACAATACGACACGTGTTGCGCCTCTACACGAGGCATCCTCAGGCGATGTAGACTCTACGGTGGCTGACCGTTAAGATCTTGGTGACGGGGATAGTGCACGCAATTGAGGGAGGGCGGGAGGTGCTCTTCATACTAGGTAAGACACATCATTTTATTTTATAGCGCGGATGTTTGCGAAGTAATTTTTTTAAAAGCTTTTATATAATGGATTTCCGCAAAGTAACGCCTGATTCTATTAATTAAATATGTTGTCACTTTAATATCTTTTGCCTGTAAGGAATTTTAATCTGACAATGGACACAAGGTTTTACCTTGGCGCCTAAGAAGCGAGCCTCCAGTAACTCCTGCTTGCGAGGATCCAGCGCCGCCTGGAAGTGCTCCATCTTGACGCCAGCGCCTGAAATCACATTAACTATTTACTTACTGCCTATATACGTATAACACTTAAGCGTATTAAATATAAGATATTTATAAGCAGTCCAGAGAAGAACGAAACAATGAAATAAAATGAAAATATTTCTTTAGTGACGTTGAAAACCCGAGCATAGCCCCCTCCATAGCTCGCTGAGCGACTTTGAGCTTCCTCATACGGCCAGCAGTGAAGGACCACGTCTCAGATCCATAGGTCATCACTGGCAACACGCACTGGTTATACAATAGTTTTGAGGTGTGCCTGACGAGAAGATGTGTCGTAATCTCCCGAAAGCTGTCCAGCCGAGTTGAATCCGTCGATTGACCTCTCGGTCGAATTCGGACTTATCTAGTCGGACTATTTGTCCCAGGTAAACATATTCATCAATAACTTCGAGCTTAGTGCTCCCAACCGTCATAGGTGTAACATGAACGTTAATCATGATTTTTGTTTTGTCTACGTTCATCTTAAGACCTATATGTTGGGTAACATTGTCATTGAGCATAGTGCTTATTTCCTCCGGCGATTCTGCCATAAGGACTATATCGTCGGTAAAGTGAAGGTGAGTGATGTACTCGCCATTGAGATCAATACCGTATCCTTTCCAGTCCAGTAGCTTGGACTTGACTTGCTTTTCCAATGCAGCGATTAAGAGTTTCGGGGATATTACGTCACCCTGTCTTGCACCTCTCTGCAGTTGGATAGGTTTCGTACTCTGGTTCTGTACTCGGATAGTCATCGTAGCCCTACTGAACAAACACTTCAGCACTTCGATATACCGACAGTCCACTTGGAACCGCTGAAGGGACTGCAGCACTGCTCAAATTTCGACGGAATGAAAGGCTTTCTCATAGTCCACATACGCAAGACAAAGTGGCAGATTGTACTCTTCGGTCTTCTGTACAATTTGCCGACGGGTATGTATGTGGTCTATGGTGCTAAAGCCTTTTCGGAAACTGGCTTGTTCGGAAGGTTGGAAGTCGTCGAGTGTGCGTGCGAGACGATTCGTAATGACTCTCGAAAACAGCACGCATACGCGGCTCAAAAGGGAAATCGTTCTATAGTTCTTCAAGAGAGCGTTGTCGCCTTTCTTAAAGAAGAAGACCACCGCACTTCTGCTCCACGCCTTCGGAACAGTGCCACCATGGAGGACAGAATTAAAGAGCTTCTAAAGCACTTTAAGTACTGGTTTTTCACCCGCTTTCAGAAGCTCCGCTGTAACTCCATCCTCGCCCGGAGACTTGCCGTTTTAAAGGTGCTGGAGAGCCATTCTAATCACGCTCATATTAAAGTCGGGGAAATCATTGGAATAGTGTCGGATAAGACTTGCTCTTGGATCGTTACTCACAATTGCGTGTGGCTCTAACGATGACGTGTACAGATCTGTCTATAGAACCTCTCAATCTCACTCAAAAATCCAGGGGTCCCGGAAACGATGCTACCACATTCGGTCTTCAGCTTTAACAGTTGACTCTTTCTGGCGATCCCTGGCAAAGATTTTGGAGCCCTGGTTCCGCTCAATTCAATACAACTTGTATTGAAGTTGCGCAAGTCCCGCCGCAAGCATTTGGAGATGTCTGTTCAGTTGCCTCTATGCTGTCAAATCTGTTCAAAACTGCAGCTTCATTTCCTGTCTAATAGCCATGAGATTAAGACTGAGATCGGAGTTTTTGTGTTCTTCTGCGACGTGTCTTACAGAACTTAGCTCCGACCGTATGGACAGCCTAGGATAGTAGTTTTGTAATAGTCCCCGCCCCTGCTTGTATCATAACCTTCTACTGGTGATCTTATCGCAAAATCGTTACATCTTGCACGGGTGACTAAAACGAGTGGATGAGTATGCACGTGTTAGCGTACACACATATTTACACTGCAAAAAGTACAGAATGAATTGGGAATGAAATTCATCGCACCACCTAACGGAAAAGGTAAAACAACGTCTGTTGGGGCCAGTTAGTTAACGCCTTAAGTGATCTCCACAAACTAGAGTGCGGAGTGAGGCAGGGGGGCTGACGTCACCCAGGCTGATTAATCTTAATGTTAACAGACTGATTGAGTGGCTCAGCAGAGCAGGTGTCGGTTGCTTAATAGACGGTGTATCCATGTATAATTTTAGTTACGCAGACGACTTGGTTCTGTTGAGCCCCTCAGTCAGCGGGCCTCGAAAGCTGTTGAAAATTTGTGAAGGATATTCCGAGGAGACTGGACTCAGTTACAACTCGAAAAAGAGTGAATTTATTGTCTTCAGAGGTAAAAACAAACCACTTGATTTCACGCCACGTATCCAGATATGTGGGATTCCTCTGAGACAAGTGGCTGAGTTTAGGTACCTCGGACATATTGTAACTGAACGCCTGGATGATGACAGTGGCATTGAACGAGAGCGCCGAGCGATGTCGGTCCGGGGCAATATGTTGGCTCGCAGATTTGCACAAGTATGACTCAAGTCAAGTTAACTTTGTTCAAGGCGTATTGCCAATTCTTTTACACGTGCAGTCTGTGGACTGACTATACGCAGCGAGCCTACAGTGCTCTGCGTGTTCAGTACAATAATGTGCTGAGGATGATGTTGAGGAGGCCTCGACACTGCAGTGCATCGGCCATGCTTGCGGATGCTCGTGTGGACGACGTTTACGCGATCCATGATGAGCAGGCTATTGAGGAGCTCCAACACCCTTCTTAGCGCATTGGCTGTGAAGCTGGATAGCCCGCTCTGGAGGGCTTGGAATGGTGCACACACCAGCACCAGGAGAATCCCACCTGGAGTTCGCTATGTGAGGCTGGGGGTAAGTTAAGTTACTAATATAGGATAAGTACTATTGCGACTAACATTAGGGTAAGTAAGTTTTACTAACAATCTATGACTATTATTGGTCGAAATAAAGGATTTATTATATTATTATTATATATAAATTACAGTCAAAACTCATAAGCGGTCTTAAATAGAGAGATTTTCTTCTTTCTGAATTTAGAAATTGTATTCGATGTGTATTTTTTTTATAGAAGAAGGGGAAACAAGCATGTGGTAAGTGACTATCGGAGCAGGTGCGTTGCCGGCCTTTTAGAAAGGAATAAGCTCTTTTCTTGAAGGTCCCTAAGTCGTAACGGCCGGAAAAATCGCCGGTGGTAAAATATTCCCCAAAGAGGTCGTACGAGGAAGAAAACTACTAATAAAACGCACACAGCAAACATTCAAATGGTGTGGATGGTATTGTGAGTTATGTCGCAATACGCGTTCGGAAATTTGGCGGCTGGAATTAATTCAAACAACTCCTCAGAACACTCCCCATAGTAAATATGATAGAAAACGCAAAGGGATGCAACATCCCTTCGCAGCGCCAGTGAGTCGAGCCGATCAGAAAGAAATGTGTAAGCATTTGTGCCTGTTAGAAAAGTTTAACGGCTCGGTAGCGTAGTTAAGCGTCTGACTGCGCAGAATACTAGCGTGAAATAGTAGTATAATACTGGTGTTTTCCGTGCATGGTAATTTTAGTGTGACAAAGCATCTGTATTTTGATTTGTAACCGAGGACAGATGCAGGTGGCATTATAATAATAATATGTTCTATGTGTCACTGGACCCACTTCCATCTAGGTAAAAAAGTCATAACATAAGTACTCTTAATTTGGCCCATCTATATACATATAAATATAATTTAAGTGTCTGTCTGTAATATCGAAACAAATGCCTTAGCTGAGAGGGTTTTTAAATCATATTAAGACAATAAACAACAATTTTCAAAATATTTGTCTGTCTGTCCGAACTAATCTTTGGAATGGCTGAATCAATTGTAATGAAACCTCACGAACAGATATAAGTATCATCGTATCCAATAAAAGGGTATCCGGTTCTCTACACTCACCACACTAAACACAGGAGCGTTATACTGATATTCTGTGAGAGAGAGACCATTCTGTGATGGTCCTGCCCCGGTGGAGTCAACCCATTCGTAGCTAGCTGCAGCATGGCTCTGCCACGTATAAAAATTAAAAACAAAATTAAAATCTAAATAACGCCACATTAATAGATCCTACCAATGCGAAGCCAGGGCGCGTCGCTAGTCATCAATACGTCGCAGACTTGGTCATCCCTTGCCAACACAAATTTGCTTTGTCACTCTTTCCTCATTCACTATTTATTTTCTAAACCACCGAAGCATTCCTTTCTTAATCATGGTCACAACATTATCTTGCAAACCTTACTTTTTATTACAACTTCTCACCCTGTCATTCAGTCACCCCTAACATACTCCTTACTACAGCATTGATTCTACTCTCGTGCTTCCTCTACCACATGCAACTTTCACTACCATATATTAAGATAAGGACTAACCCAACATTATGGATTGCTAAATTTGCCTTTTTTGACACATTTTGACTTCATTGATTTTAGAGTGAAGATCTCCATTAACTTTTACTATTAACTTTCACTCGTCGTTCTTTATCCTTGTCATGTCTACCATCACTGCTAAACACAAAAACTCATCCACTTGCTCAACCAATTCCTTTTCTATTCTTATTTCACATATCCTTTTACTTTCTTCTCTTTCATAAATCATTATTTTTGTCTTACATGCATTCTCTTTTATGAAAAGAAATCAATAAAAAATAATAATTCTATAAACTCCGTCTACAATTTCAATCGTAATATTGTTATAATTTTTTGAGATATTATTCTCCACACTGGGATTTTCTCCTGTATCGTGGGGTCAGTTTACATACATAAATTTGACAAGGACAAACATCCAGACCCGGAATAATTATTTGTAGGCCATACAAAATACAAATACTTGTTCCGTGCAGGATTCAAACCCGTGGCTCTTGGCGCTGCAACTTATTCTTAAGCCACTCGCTACAAAGCCGTATAATATATTATTGTGTATTAAAAATAGTTTATTTGAAAAATATGACGTTTCAGTAATTTAAAAAATATAGGTTTCTGTATTTGCGATAAGTTATAATATATGTAATATGGAGGTATCTATC